AAAGATAAAAAAATGATGAGGGGGTGGGGGGGGGGGGTATGTTAGTAAGAACAAATAATATAGTGTCTTTTTTTTCTTTTGAGAACTGCCACTGATACACGCGAAAATCTTAGCCATAAACATGTCTAGAATTATGAGAAGTCTCAGAGCGCATCAAAACACTCTACAAACTTGTTGAAAAACTGATGCGCTGCATCACACTCTATCTTAATGAAATTCTCTCTATGTATCTTACACATATTATTGTCACAGGATCGACAATTTTGAAGGCATTGGCAACTCTTATCGACCGATTCTATCAAACAAACGACCGATCGGTTTGAAGCGATAAAAAAATGCGAAATTTTTAGTCACATGATGTCTTTTGACGCTGAAAATGAGCGCCGAACGTTAACTTAAAAAGGCACCTTTATAATCATACTTTTGAACATTCACGCTCCATCCGTTATTGCTTGTGTCTTTCAAATGATCATGATATTGCGCTTTGTATATTTATTATTTATTGAAATATTTTTTTTATTTACACATATATCGACTATTCCTTTTGCATGAACTAATTTATTATTCTAATCGGAGCGGGCTTTCCCCCTTTATATTTCACGAGCAAACGATGAAACGCTGTCGGGCTTCGGGAATGAGAGAGATACACTTGAAATAGAGGTAAGCGTAAATGTAATAGAAATATCCACGTTAATTAGCAACGTAAGAAAATGACAAATAATTTTAATTTTGCGCCAAGAGTAAAGGAGGAGTAGTGCTACGAAGGTCACCATCTGCTAGTCTCATCTGTATTGTTATTCGGTTACACAGGAATTTAATAATAAATTAAATTAAATTAACAATAGAACATTTTATAATAAAGATCCAATAAAGTTACAAATATAATGAAAAGGCACTCCTTTTTTTATAAATTTCAAAATGAAACGTTTCCCTCGCGATACGAAACGGCGCGTGAATTACGAGATCCGAGATGGTTCGAGTTCTTGATGTTTCTGTGCGCTTACCATATTTTATTAAAACGCCAAAGTTCATTATATTGTTGCGCGCGCATCTATATCTTATCGATGCAAAAGAGGATTCATAAAGACTTTCTCATTTTACAACGCAATATTATTATTTTTATTTTATTATTTTTTTTTTCCATTATGCGCTTGACATCTCTATTCACTTGACAAATGAACGAGGCGGTGGAAACGAAAAGAACGAATGGATTCCGATCGATTGGAATTGTGCGGCCAACAATTTTCGGAGCCGGATATTGTCGAGTCGGTTAGTAAATCTCAATCTCCCGTGTAAAACGAAGAGCCGGGAGAGATGCTAAGAGTACGCTCGCGGGAGCGAGAGAAAAGGAGAGGGAGAGAGACAGAGAGAAAGACGCACGCGCGCGATAGCGACGCGACCCGGCGACGGGACGGATGATACTATGCGTCGACGACCGGCGACGCCGTCGCACATGCGCGTCCTAACGCGTCCCTGTTCGTTCACCGATTTCGATTTTAGTCACTCCCGGGTTCGGCTTCGGAGAAAATCGTCTCCCGGCCCTCGCGTAACGCACGGCCACCGCCCGAATTCGTACCGACTGCGAACGTTAACGATTTCGCTGTTTAGCGATCCGGAACGAGGACATCGACGAGAGGGGTAGCGCGTGGCCGATCTCCGTCCTGTGGACCTTTTTTTAGGAGGATATATCGTAGGTGAGGACGTAGAGACGGAGAGGCGATACGATATAGATGGGAGCACGCGCGCGCGCGCGCGCGCAGCAGCATAGATCTCCGTCTGACAGATCTCCCACGGTATCGCGATTCTACTATCATCGAGTCCGGAATAACCGATCTCCGATTTAACGCGTTCCATCTCAGTTATCTCGATGAATAGACGAGAGACTTCGAAAGGTAAGGGAGTCGAACGCGACCGCAACGCTTCTTTCGTGACGCGACGGGAAAGGAAAATCGATCGGACATATATACACATATATATATATATATATATATATATATATATATATATATATATATATATATATATATATATATATATATATATATATATATATATATATATATATATATATATATATATATATATATATATATATATATATATATATATATATATATATATATATATATATATATATATATATATATATATATATATATATGTGTATATATGTCCGATCGATTTTCCTTTCCCGTCGCGTCACGAAAGAAGCGTTGCGGTCGCGTTCGACTCCCTTACCTTTCGAAGTCTCTCGTCTATTCATCGAGATAACTGAGATGGAACGCGTTAAATCGGAGATCGGTTATTCCGGACTCGATGATAGTAGAATCGCGATACCGTGGGAGATCTGTCAGACGGAGATCTATGCTGCTGCGCGCGCGCGCGCGCGCGTGCTCCCATCTATATCGTATCGCCTCTCCGTCTCTACGTCCTCACCTACGATATATCCTCCTAAAAAAAGGTCCACAGGACGGAGATCGGCCACGCGCTACCCCTCTCGTCGATGTCCTCGTTCCGGATCGCTAAACAGCGAAATCGTTAACGTTCGCAGTCGGTACGAATTCGGGCGGTGGCCGTGCGTTACGCGAGGGCCGGGAGACGATTTTCTCCGAAGCCGAACCCGGGAGTGACTAAAATCGAAATCGGTGAACGAACAGGGACGCGTTAGGACGCGCATGTGCGACGGCGTCGCCGGTCGTCGACGCATAGTATCATCCGTCCCGTCGCCGGGTCGCGTCGCTATCGCGCGCGTGCGTCTTTCTCTCTGTCTCTCTCCCTCTCCTTTTCTCTCGCTCCCGCGAGCGTACTCTTAGCATCTCTCCCGGCTCTTCGTTTTACACGGGAGATTGAGATTTACTAACCGACTCGACAATATCCGGCTCCGAAAATTGTTGGCCGCACAATTCCAATCGATCGGAATCCATTCGTTCTTTTCGTTTCCACCGCCTCGTTCATTTGTCAAGTGAATAGAGATGTCAAGCGCATAATGGAAAAAAAAAATAATAAAATAAAAATAATAATATTGCGTTGTAAAGTACGCCGCGAATATCGAGGATCGGTATAAAAGGAAAAAAAGGGAAAAAAGAAAACCAATGTGCTGTCGAATCCGCGCGCGAATACGGACATCCGCTTCTATGACTGCTCTGGCTCGATGTGATCGCGCGCACTTGTTACAGTCGCCGTTTTATAGCCGGTCGCGCGATCTCCTCATTCTCCTCCGCAAACGATAAACTCCGTAGGCGACGCGCTGCACATGGAGTTTGGAGTGGGTACGCCGCGAAACGAAACGCGCGCAGAGAGAGGAAACTCCCTCGGTCGAGGATGGAAGGGGCGAGAAGGATGCAAATCGCTTGGCTCGGTGTAGGAAAGAAAAAAAGAAAATCAGAGTGTAATTGTGCACGAACGTTTTTTTTACGCCGAATGTGTGTGTGGCAAATCGCGTATCCAAACGCAACTGCCGAACGCACGCTTTTATCCTTAGCACACGTGTGTAAAAGGGAGGGAAAAAAGATGGCGCGGTAGAGCAACCAGTGGCGTAGCGAGAGTATTTTTTTTTTGCATTCCCCACCTACGATATATAATATATATATATATATATATATATATATATTTAGAGATATCTCGTTATCTTTTTTCGTCGCGTAATTTTTTCTTGGCATTCGGACATCGATAAGACAACGGAACACGAAGGTATATCGAGAAATTATATTTGAAATCTAAAGAATTTGTGTAGATAAACATCATCAAGATTTTATTGATTTTATTTTACGCTCTCCGGGGAGCCGTTACACCCTCGCTATGCTTCTGTAATAGCGATTTTTTGCGTTGCGACGCATAAATTTGTTGATATTATCTCTTTGAGAAACCTCAAGACTAATTTTGCACTGATAAAGATTGAACTCATCGTTAATTCGATGTAAAACAACGAAAAAATCTGGAATGTATAATTGCCTCTTTAATACTTGACAGAAAAACACGTTTCTATGAAAAGGTGGCAACAATAATCGTCGTTAAAACGATCGAGCTTACATGCGGAACCGTAACCACGTACGAACAGCTGATTCTGACATTCCTGGGGCCATATTCTTGAAAAATATCGCATACGATATTTATCATTGCGCAGTTATTTTCCGATACGTTTTAGCTACGCAAAGACAAATATCGTATGCGATATTTTTCAAGAATATGGCCCCTGATCGGCGAGAACATAACGTTCGATAAATTAATATTATTCGTTAGATTAACAGGGTGTCTACTCCCTGGAAAAACCTAGAAAATCTGGAATTCTCAGGGATTTCATTTTTATCTTGAAAAATCAGGAAATTCTCATGAAATTTTATTCGAACACAGGGAATTTTTTCAAAAATTCTCTTTGATCATTTCGTTCTTATATTGCAAGTATCGGCAATTTGATTGGCCAATGATTGTGAATTATATGTTTCAAATATATCATGAATATACTGGGTGTAACTAAACAAATACATATGGACAATACTATCAGATACAGAACAACAATTCAAATCGAAAAGTCCTGAACCATTTTTTGATCTGAGCTTTCTTTTCGTTGTTATATGATGTTAAAGTTAACTAATCAGCGCCTGTCAACAGGCGCTGATTAGTTAACTTTAACATACGGCTTTCTGGTGTATAGACAGGCGCTGATTAGCTAACTTTAACATCACATAACAACGAAAAGAAAGCTCAGATCAAAAAATGGTTCAGGACTTTTCGATTTGAATTGTTGTTCTGTATCTGATAGTGTTGTCCATATGCGTTTGTTTAGTTACACCCTGTATATATATATCTTTCTCTCTTTGATTATATGTTTATTGTCATAACAAAAAATACTGAATATACAATACTGAGTACACATTTTTTATTATAATTTTTACAATTAATGATAGAAAATGAAAATATTATGCAAATGAGAAGAATGCTTATCTTACAAATTCAGCTCTTTTCAGTTCTTTTCACATTTTTAAATTTAATATTTAAAATTGAAGTGGTTTAGTTTTCCTTTCTGAGTAAAAAGCATTAAAAAACGCACAAAAAAAAGACTTATTTTAAAAATTCTCTAATTTTACCTGGAATTTTGAACAAATTATCTGAAAAATCACATCGGGAATTTTTTTACAAGCTTTGGGTAGACATCCTGATTAAAGAAAAAAAAAAAAATACTGAGAATAATAAAACAGCGTGTCAGTTTAATTTGCGCGCCAATTATTCGGCATTTGTTTTTCATTCTACAGAGCCAGAGGAAGATTCACGTCGACCCAATTTTCGGCGGGAAGGAAAAAAAAACGGTCGCGACGACCTCTACGGACGACATTAGGGAGAGTCTCGCGATGAAGCAGGAACCGGAGGACGAGGAGGATTGTTACTTCGACGAGTCGAGTATACCGTCGACGTCGCCGCCGGCCTTACTCCCACCACCGCCGACCTTGGCGCCGTCGACGACGACGACGACGTCCGCGTCGTCCGGCCGGCACGGTAGCGTCACGCACCGAGTGCGTTCCCACGCGCGCAGTTTACGCGCCATGGCGAATCCCAGCGCTGTCTGGGCGCACTTCGACCTGTGCGCTAACGATCCGCTGCGCGCACAGTGCCGTATCTGTGGGGCGGTCGTGGTCAGGGGCGGCGCGAATCCGCGCCAATGCGGCACGACGAACTTGCATCGGCATCTTAGGGTACACCACGGCGGTAGGCTGATCGGTCGGCGATACCACGGTAAAATTTTTTAATTATTTCGGAGTATTTTTTTACGATTAGAAATGTGTAACGTGTGAAGCGAGGAGTGAAGCCCCCGTTTTATCAAGTTGGACTTGTCGCATTAAAATATAAATATAATAATGACTACTCTTTAATTGTAGTCTTCGAGAGAAGATTGATACATTTGTCCCACCTTGGCACGAGTTTAAAGAAGATTTTCCCTTGTAAAAACATCTGGCTCTTGATGTTTAAACCATTTTGAACAGCGTTCTCTACCACTGCATCATCTGGAAATCGTTTTTGTCCAAGATGTTTTTTCAATGGCCCGAACAAATGAAAATCGGAAGGAGACAGATCCGGGCTGTAGAGAAGATGCTCCATAATATTCCAATGAAATGATTACAAAAATTCTTGAGTTTGATGTGCAGAGTGAGATCTAGCATTATCATGAAAAACATTCATAAGAAAGAGGATTTCTCTAGAGAGGCCCATGCCTCTTTCTTTGTATTGCTTCCGGATTTCAGGATTTTTATTGAGAGAATGTTCAAACTTATGCCAAGATGGGACAAATTCATCAATCTTTTCAAAGATTATATTGAAAAATAGTCATTAGCTTCTACTTTAACGCAACAAATCCAAGTTAATTATAAGTTGTAAATAAAAGCTGTAATAAAACAGTGAATCTTAGTTTTTGATTCATCTTAGTATGTTGGAATGGGATTTTTTACAATCAGGAATCTCGAATTTATAAATGAGAAAAATTTTAGTTAGATTTTTTTGTTTTTCTCAATTAAAACTACTTCGTCAAAGTTACAATTTAGAAAATAGAATCGCGAAAAGAATCATTGTCACTGTCGAAAATCATATATCAACAAGAAACTTCTCTTCGATTCATTTCTCCCGTAACATTGGTTCGACTTATATGAGATACTTGCAATGATATATTTATTTTTTGTTACATAGTTTTACAATCGACGTCTCAAAGTAATACAACTGCTAAAACTATAAGGATAGCTACGCAGTCCTTAGTGAGACCTCATATTCGTAATATTGCGCCAGCGCCGCTGCCTCAACAACAGCAATCACGGCAACCAAAGACTCTTGTATTAAAAACTATTCCACTGAAAGTTAAGCAAGTCGCACCTACGACTATCAAAATGCCACCGCGACAAACTAATCAAGGATTACCACATAATGTCGTCCATCAACAACCTACAGAAGTATATAGATTCTTTGTAAATGTTGTATTTATTACAAGAAGAAAATGTGGTGTGGCACAGAGATTTTTATCAAATTTGTACTTTTCTGTATGTTTTAGGTTTGCTTGAGGTGGAACAGTTACCATAGTAATATGCAAAATAGCTTCCCATCGTTGTTAGATACAGAACAGTTCGTCGATGTGACCCTAGCATGCGAAGGGCGATCTTTGAAATGTCACAAGATGATTTTATCTTCATGTAGCGACTATCTGGCAGATTTATTACGGGAGAATCCGTGTCAACATCCTATTATTCTAATGAAAGACCTGAAATTTTGGGAAGTAGAGGCCTTGGTTAAATTCATGTACCGTGGAGAAGTTAATGTAGCTCATGATAAGCTGTCACAATTGTTGAATGCCGCCGAAGCATTGCAAGTCAAAGGACTAGCTGGTCCAAGTCCCTCATCCCAAGTAAGTCGATTAATACGATTCATTTTATAATTAAATTTTCTATTATTTTTCAAAGAACAATCTTCAAATTCATTTGTACTCTTTCATCGGCAGAACGCAAAACCACCATTACTTATACCTCAATCGAAGCCATTATCGTCTCAACTTGTAGTTCCTAGAGGTATTGCAGAAACCAAAGAAAATAAAGCATCACCTCCGAAAGTATCTACGTCTTCTAGCCCTAAACGTGCGCAAAAGCGACAACAATCCGAATCTATAGAGCCAAGACCTTTCACGAAAATACGTTTACAGCGACCTGTTACACCTTCGTCTCCGTGTGCAACCGTGAAGATGGAGCCTTTAGATATACCTCTTAGTCCGACGGAGATATTTTCACAGAATAATGAAGATGTTACACCTTCCTCGGACTTTGAGAAACTTATGAGCTTGCATGAGGAAGATGATCCAGGTGGCGAGGAAGTCAATGATGGTGATGAGAGATTACATTTTTGTGAACTGCCAGGTCCACCGGATTTAAACGATAACGAAGACCAAATGGAATTTGTACCTACTGATTTCTTAGAACAACAACAAGAAATTGTCGAAGAACCGGAATCAGGTTGTAATAGAGACCGTATTAAAAAGGATTCTGTCGATTATGCTTCCGTTGATGTCGGGGAAGACAACGGAATCTCCCAAAACACCATGCAGCCGTTAAAAGAAAAAAAAGCGGCATAGTAAAATGTAAGAATATCTTCATGTAACGAATCATGTGCTACAAATTTTGATTTATATGAAAATATCCGTGATTTGATTTCTCAATATCTTTAAAATGACGAGGCATTTTTTATTACGACAAAATTCAGATTTATTGAGATAATACACTAGACGACATATGTGTGTGCAATCAAATTATAAAGAGATTTTTATTTTCTTGGAATCTATGTATCAAAAATACTTGACAGAAAAGTTGCTCCTTTATTTAGTGTCTTGTGCATCAAACTCTAATAAAAGATTAATATTTTATCATTTATGTGAATGTAGCATTTGTGTGAAAAACTATGTGAAGAAAATAGAATACATTAAACATATTTCTGCTAGTTCAAAGCATCTTTTTTCACAGAATATATATTTATTTAAATATTTTATATATACAGGGTGTCCCGTTTTAATCGACCATCCCTGATAACTTCGTGGGAAGCGGTCGAATAAAAAAATGTTTTATACTAAAGTTGTAGGGTTTTAAGTGGCGCATGACATAGTAATATTAGTATGACCCTGAATAGCGTTGTCAAGGTCATGTAAAAATCACATTGACATTTAAAAGTGGGAATCCCCATTTTTATTGCATATTCATATAGTTTACCTTACGAACTTTTCAAAATACTGTAATAAAGTATTTTTTTATTAAGTATTTTTCGAGTTATTTTATATCAAAATATGTCAGATTAAGATATAAAATAACTTGAAAAATACTTAATGAAATATTTTATTATAGTGTTTTGAAAAGCTCTCAAGTTAAACTACATGAATATGCAATAAAAATTAGGGATCCCGTTTAAAAATGTCGATGTGATTTTTACGTGACCTTGACAACGCTATTCAAGGTCATACTAATATTGCTATGTAATGCGCCACTTAAAACCCTACAACTTTTGTATGAAACATTTTGTTATTTGGCCGCTTTTTGCGAAGTTATCAGGGGTGGTCGATTAAAATGGAACATCCTGTATGACTAACTTTATATATACATATATATATATATATATATATATATATATATATATATATATATATATATATATATATATATATATATATATATATATATATATATATATATATATATATATATATATATATATATATATATATATATATATATATATATATATATATATATATATATATATATATATATATATATATATATATATGTGTGTGTATATAACACACACACACACACACACACACACACATACAATATAGATATCTGATGTAGCAATGCATTTATAAAGATTAATAATACTGTTTGCTGTTATATCAGAATATATATTCAGTTGTCTCGTAAATGTGTGATCAATTTCATTTTATATAAAAATATGTATTTTAGACTCTATAGAATTATGTTGTAACTTATTTTATCTATAAAAATAATATCAAATTGTAATTATTTATACATTGAATATGTATTAAATAAGCTGTATTATTGTCGCTGGTGCATCCATTGTAAAGTTGTAAGTGATTGGAATATTGTAGGTATAAATTATAACATGAAGATACATCTCCTAAAAATAAATAGCTATTACAACACAACTCCACATGTATAACAAATTCCGTCATACATATAGCTTTATGTTAAATCTCTAAGAAATATGAATCAATTTTTACACAAGTTAAAATAAGTTTTCTTTATTATAATCTATTTATCCATAAAAATGTAAAGGAGAGAGAGACATTTTTAACAATAATTGATTTGTAAAATAAAATGATTGCATAAAATTTTTGAGACTGTGATCGATTAAAAACTATTATTTTATGTTTTTCTTGAAGCTTTTGTAACTTTATATGTTTTGCGATATCACGGAATTTATATTCTTTCTCTCTCTCTTTCAATTTTTTATTTTCTCCTTTTATGACGCTACATATGTATATAGCATATAATAATATTATATAATACGTATACACTGTATATGTATACTACGTCGCTCTATTATATACAGGATGTCCTAAAATCATTAGAACAAAAATGTCGAGAGGTCATTTTTTGAAAATTGCCGTTATTTTTTGCCCACACACATTATATATCTTTATAACTAAGCAAATGTAGGTTTGTTAAATCCACAAAGTTTAGTTTGCAAAAACTTTTTTTTAATCGCATATAACTCGGAAATTATTGATGCCGCGATGATTTCGCTGGTAATGAGGAAAAATCGTCTCCAAATTGGCCAGAGAATCTGTTAAAATTATCAAATTTAGATTATTTAAATTATATTAATATTTTAATTTAAATTATTAAATCTATATTATTAAAAAAACATTCGATGCTTTTGGGACATCCTGTATATATTATACATCTTATACTATAGTAATATAAGAAATACCATACGCGATAGATTCATACGAGATATGTTAGGCGGCGCCACGTGTCTGCCCCCCTCCACGTCAACTGTCAAATCGACGAGCGTTGTTTGTATACGAAATTTATCTCGCGGTTTAGCTTTAGCGTCGTTCGCGAGAGAGAGAGAGAGAGAGAGAGAGAGAGAAAGACTCCGGATCGAGATCGAGTCCTGGTTTAGAATCTGGTTTCGGATCAGGTTCGTATACTTGTGCTCTTTATATAACTCTTTCGCTGAAAGCAAAGTGATTCTCGCTCGCGAGACGACCGGCCTCGTCTACATCATTGATGATCACCGCAGCCAGAACCGCAATTCTGTCATTTCTCGACTCATTATCCTACCCTATCATAATGTCATAATAGTCTGTCTACTCTATGTATACACACATGATCGGCCGGGACAGGTAATTCTTTGACCGATCCTGGAACCTGGTCCGCGACGGAATCATCGCGACTTCTCGTTCGCGCAAGGGTTACGAACTAAAGACCTGCTGCCCTCTTGTTTCCCTTAACCTATATTAAAGGATCAATGACTGAATGTTGCATACGCGCGAAGGACGTGTGTCAGCGCTTGTCAGATCGCGAGCGCCTACTTTGATGGGGACGGGCGAGTGATTAGAGCGTGTCGATATTCGATGAATTTCCAAAAAGGTTTGCGATCGGATTTAATGGTTTAACGATTGCAGGATGAGTCGTACGATGGACGAAAAGGAGGAATTAGTGAAGAAGGCCTTATTTAGTTTCGTTAGGAAACAGGTGCCCACTGCTCAATTGAGGTACAAGCTCTAAACTTTGATTTTCCGAAATATTTCTTACCTCCTGTAATGGAAATATGTACTGAGGATGAAAAAATAAGGTTTCCTGTTTTTATTATGACTTTTATTTACCATTTGTTCACAAATGGGACTTATAGTGTTAAAATGTATATATGTAATGATATGAATTACTTTTCAATATTTTTTTAATATTTTCAATATCTTCTCTCTTCGAGAGAAGATTGATAGGCTTATCCCATCTGGCACAAGTTTGAAGATTCCTCCTCTCAGTAAAATCCAGTTTTTGATGTTTAAACCATTCTTGAACTGCATTATGTATCGCTGCATCATCTGGAAATCGTTTTCCTCCAAGATGTTTCTTCAGCAGCCCAAAATGAAAATTGGAAGGAGCCAGACCCGGGCTGTAAAGAGAATGCTCCATAATGTTTTAAGTAAATGATTACAAAAGTTCTTAAGTTTGATATGCAGAGTGAGATCTGGCATTATCGTGAAGAAAAATCAAACATCTTTGGAAAGAAGCCTAAATCTCTTTCTTCAAATTGCCTCCTTGATGATACAGAATGCTGTTCAAGAATGATTTAAACATCAAAAATCGTATTTTTACCAAGAGGCAATCTTCAAAACCCAGCCAAGGTGGGACATGTGCATCAATCTTTTTGAAGACTATATTGAAAAGTAGTCAATAGCTTCTATTTTAACACAATAAGACCAATTTGTGCATAAGTTGTAAATAAAAGTTGTAATAAAACAGGGGACCTTACCATTTTTTATCCATCCTAGCATTATTAAATTGATAGATATCTCTCCTTTTCACTTTTACATTAACCAAACTTTTTTTATTTCAGCTTAATAGATGACATTGTACTAAGTTATGTAGTGAGTATGGTAGAAGAAAGTGCATTGGAGGAAAATTTAGATGTGGACGGACTGTGCGAGATGGTATCCGCTTGCCTTCCCGAGTTTTCCACTATTGAGAAAGAGGCTGTATCAAAATGGTTGCTGGATGTGGAAAGTAAATTGAAACAAGAAAGTAAAGATAATGAAAATTGTCAGTCTCACAGCGATCCATTGAATCACATCAGCCTCTCCGCTCTTTTGCCAGCTGGTACGCAAAGAATGCGCATTCATCATCTGTCAGAAACGAGCGATGCCGGCAGCGATTCTAGCGGAGAATATTTTTCGGAGGTAAAAAAAAGCATCATTTTAAGTGTCTTCAAATATCTATATAAATTTCTTTGTACTATTGTAGGAATCCTCTTGGCACCAGGTGGCTTTATTACAAGAGATGTTTCCGGCGGCGAGCACCGCTGAAGCGAGGCATTGTTTGGCGGTAGCCGGGGGTGATATAGCAAAGGCCGCGCAACTCGCGTTACATCGTCAGGAAGCAGGTCAAAGTATCGTGAGCAACCTCACGTTTCTAACGGTGAGATATTTCAACTCGCTTGATTGTGTTTCCAATATCATCTCCCGCATGTATATCCAATACGCGCAATTTCAATCGTTTCAGCCCAATGGTCGTAATAAAGCAAGATTGAACGACGAAGAGCTGAAATCTCGTATCATAGCACGATATAGTTACGTCGACAGGGACGACGATTGTCGTGAACATCGTCCAGTAGCACCAAAAACAGAGCCCAAGAAACTGGTACGATATCTCGACAATAAGATCGTAAGTGTAAAGGGTGAACGTTATACAGAAGTGCGGAGGGGCGGCGAGGACGAAGACGGTAACGAAGGTGGTAGAAAGAGAGGTCATTGCCGTCCGTAACCAGTCCCTTTGCCTCCAACCCCCGATCCACCCCCTTGGAGGCATCTGATTTTCGATTGAATTTTAGATCTTTTTCATCTTACTCGTGTAGGAATATAGACAAAATATTGAATTTAAACAGGTGTAACATTTTTTTGACATTTAATTTCTATGTAATGCAGCCTACGCAGCTCTTGGAATCTCTCACATGTTTCAACATAATTTGTTGATTAATTTGTCGTTGTACTATATACAGGGTATCAAAACGTTTTTCTCTAAAATGCTTAGTTTTTGAAAGAAAAGGGGTGTACGGGTGGTCTAGGACACCCTGTATATGACTATAGTAGAGTAATTTTTTACTCTATTCATTCGCGAGTTGATTCGCAATTAATCGTTTAATGAATACCCATTTTTTTAATTTCTATGTATAGATCATATTTTTTCAATCGAGCGTGCAATGGCCGTTAAGTAAATATTTATATCCATAATTGGAATATTATAATATTACATAATTATAAAAATGCATTAATTATTGCTCTGTTATTATCAAAGACATAATTATCAAACTTGCAAAAAGAATAATTTTAATTTTAACGTATAATGTATATTGATCCCGATGATTTTTTATTTACGCAGTTCTAGACTTTTGCAGTTGAATATGTTTTCGAATAAAGTATTTATTCGACTCGTTATTAATTTTATGTATATATATACCTATATATTAAGATCCAGATGATTGTAAAAGAGATACATGCCTGATTTAGAAAATAATTATTTGTAAGTTGTTATGTAAAGAAACGATTCTCAAATACGCTTTATTTTGTATGTTAGCTGGCTATTGTAAGCTCGGCACTTGACTCTTAATATCCATTCCTCTTATTCTACTCTGATAGAAATCATGTTGTATTTCTCAAGTTTATTTATTTTATACAAATGTAAGAATACTCTTCAAATTATACAAAGTTGTTCACCAGAAACAATACATGTGTATAATTCTCAACAATTTAAAGATATGGAAAAAGAATAATTGTTATAACTTTAAGAAACAAATATGATGTAGAAAACATTTTTTTCTTAAGAACAGGATCTGTCCAAAATCACAGTACATAATCGAGAAAAGTTGTTGAATCCATCTCGACAATGATTACTAATACATAAATAAGAAAGTATATTTCTTATTTATAGTAATACAATATATATTTTTTTATACATATTTTAATAGTAGTTGTTGAGATGAATTCAATAATATTGGATAATACAAGACTGTTCCACATTTAATTTAAGTATAAAAAGCACATGTTATTAATTTTCTAATTTTAAATCATTTTTCTTAAAAATAAAACCTATAAAAAAATTTCATTTTATATTTTTTATTTGTGAGATGTGAGACCATTCCTCTCACTGTCACTTGTGTGCCACAATTTTGGATGTATTCTTATTCTTATTTTTGCTTTTTTTAACGCTTTATAACTTCTAAAAAAATTATAAAGCTATTTTATTTAATCTACGTTAAATATTAAAATGTTAAAAATGTGTTTGGAACAATTTAAATTGCGTGTAATATTTTTTTCATATCTTAAAATCTCGAAAAATTATTTGGCTATTCTATTTCTAGTGAACTACCTTGTATATACTGTTAAATAGACATTTAATTATATTAGTGCTTTGTATATGAAAAGCGCTTTTAATATCTCACTTATATACTTCACATGCTTTACTTATATTAAGCTAGCGCCAGGCTATGCGCGTATTCGCAATTCGTGAACGGTATAAAGAAATCTGATTGGTTGAATTTGTCGAATCTTCCATTCACACTATTCACGAATTATAAACGAATCGCGAATAGTCTGGCGCTAGCTTTATATAAATTTTGAAAATATTTTTTCTTATGCCTGCATTATTAGCATAGTATGATTAGTGAGTGAAAAGTGATTTATGAAAATATACCTGAAATGTATTTAGTCAAATAGCAACGTTCATGTCATGTAACAAATTAATCCTTTTTCAACTACATTATATAGTAAAATGTATTATATATTAGACTATATAAAGAAGAGCAAGAACTTTTATCCGCACGTTTACTCAGAAATTCAGAAATAATTGTTCAGCACAATTTAGTAAGTCAATATTATCTTAGTAATGTAAAGAAGAATTGCCGAACAAAAGTGAATAATTATAATTGTTTATCGAATAATCAAAATCAGAAAGTTATAAATTGTAAAAATCATTCAGAAAATGCAGATGTATCATCATACATCCTGTATCAAATGAATTAAACATACAAATATATTAATATTGCAAAAATAATTACGAAATTGTAGATTTCGAATACTATATTGTAGTATACGTATTTAGTTGAAGGCGAAAAAATAATCACTTTAGGCGGGATACAAAGTCTGCTTACAAAAATTGCGCCATAATATTCGCCAGTATTATTACTCTATTATTGTGCTGCTGTCTTGCAGACTTCAAATGTAGTCATATAAACGTAATCATTAAAGCGTTAGAACATCATATATAGAATGATGTAAACTGGATACTTATTTCAGAATCCATATCTTGACAATGTATGTGTAGAAAAGTGAGAAGATTGTAATTACTTCCAAAAGCGGTAACCAGTGAAACACTATTCAAACCAAAATATCTGTTCATTCCATAATACATTTTTTTTTTTAGTATTAGGAACAATTATAATTGTTTGTTCTTTACAAGTCAAAAAGAAGCGTTTTGTGTATGTATTATTTCTTTAAAAAAAAAAAGAGATTACAGAAGAAAATTTTAATTTGTAAAATGATTTGTTTAACAATTATAAATGTATCCGAAAAGCTTTTTGTAATTCTTTCTTTGTCTTGTTTTAAATATCACTATTGTATACCTAACCATCAATCTTTTTACCATGGTTGTATGTGTGTGGATTTATTTCTTAAATGCAATATAAATATACAATGTATGTCTTATAATGGATCGATTCTTGCCATAATAGATTATATATGAATCTTTCCTAAAAAAAACTAATGTATTCCATCGCCGATTCATAGATTCCAGAAATAATTTAATAAAATTGTTTCAGGAATATAGCAAGTAAGAAAAAAAAAGATTTATGACATAAACAATGAAGTGGATTACTTTAGTTTTAAGCGAATTCTCCACGATGTCCTTCAATGTAATATAAAAATAAGCACTTTGGCTATTAATTTTTAACTCATTAGATGTGAACTTTTGAAGTGGTGTGAAAGCAAAATGTAATTATAATTGTATTTGCTTTTAATATGCTATTATATACACACACACACACACACACACACACACACACACACACACACACACACACACACACACACACACACACACACACACACACACACACACACACACACACACACACACACACACACACACACACACACACACACACACACACACACACACACACACACACACACACACACACACACACACACACACACACACACACACACACACACACACACACACACACACACACACACACACACACACACACACACACACACACACACACACACACACACACACACACACACACACACACACACACACACACACACACACACACACACACACACACACACACACACACACACACACACACACACACACACACACACACACACACACACACACACACACACACACACACACACACACACACACACACACACACACACACACACACACACACACACACACATCATCATCACATGCCTAGACAATTATAAGATCTTTCTCTTTGCCAATTGATTACCAATGATTACAATAGAATGTATCAAAAAAAACTATGTAAAATTTTCGGTAATACTTTTATTCTTAATGACTTTCTGGATCGAAAGAGGAAGACAAAGAAATTATGGAAAATATATAAAGTGTATCAAATTAGGATGTTGTATTCTTTAACGGTGAATAGAACTTTGGGGCCTTAAGAACGGTTAAAAAATATCAGACGGACGGTTAAAGAATATCATTCTCTTTTAACTTGTACATTTACACAATGTGCGACATATTTTTCGATCTGTATTGTATGCAAAGAAAAGAAATTTTATATCTGATCAATTTCCATACATATGCTCGATCCGTTAATCAATTTATAATTATTTTTCCACATTATTTGTTAAAAGATAAAGACAATATAAGTGTTTCAGCAGTCCACTTTTGCTTCTTTCTTCATTTTTAAAAACCTAACTATATGACATTCTCATCTTATTATCTCCTTAATTTATGAATAAATATGAGATGTGATTATTAGATATTAATGTTTTTAGTACTTATATATCTTTCACAATACATTCTTGCATGTATAGTCGAAGCATTATGCTTATTGCTAATCTTTTATGCATGTTTTGTACGTGATAAATATATATTTTCAACAATTGATCTAGGTATTTGACTCATGTATACATAACTCAAATATAAAAATATTGTATTTCCCTTGCGAATGATTCAAGTGAAGCCATTAAGGAATATTGTATCTCATATAAAAAGTATCAAAATGACATGTATCCATGTGTATCCATAATATAACTAAAGTAAAGTATCCCTTCTATCTGTGAAAGATTCATTAAGATTTATTATTAAACATTTCGAACCAAATTTTTCTTGTTTGTGTCTGTGTGTGTATGTCTGTGCATATACATTTATAGACTCCGATACAAAATCTCACACCTAGATGTGTATGATAGCATCTGAAAATAATGCTCAAGAATATTTTCCCAGAAGAACACATATTATGGAGTAATATTCAATTAAAGTGGATCAGCAGATATCAGTTACATTATGTACCACAATAATACTTTAAGATTTTTTTTAATGATTGCATGTTACAATTTCACGGCGCAATACATATTATAATACATAGATATGATATAGTTTATCAATGGAGCGCTATAAGTTAATGCAATATTCGAATTGACAAAAATTCCAACATTCGTCGAGATACAAGGATCTTATTAATGACTCTTCTACCCAGCTTGACACATCCGGAAAAATAAATAATACATCTCTTTTATTCCGGCATCCGCGCGTGTGGATAATGATGTGATATAAGAAAAAAAAAGATACTTCCGATATTTCGAACTGTTGCTAAATCTATCAGAAAGTTCATCGCGATGTGGCTATTGATAATTTCGCAGCGTTAATAAAAATTAGTTTCGAACTTACGCGAATATTAATTACGACGAATTTTAAATATTAAACGATTCGATAAAGCCTGCTGACGGTCGT